AGCCTGTTCCCTCTGAAAGCCTATCTGCTCCTAAGGAACCTCCACAAGAAACAAAATATCTACATCTCAGGGGAAAGTAGCTCACTTCATAATCATGTCACTGTTCTCTACAAGTGATATTCCATTTGGCTCAAAAATTATTGCGCAATATGATAGATGAATTCCTGGGTCAAATATAGGAACACAGACACTAATGACACATGAGTTTGTTGAATGGGAAAGGAAATGCTAGTTTTTCTGTAAGTCAGCCAAGTAAACATTATATTGCAAGATGGCTTTGCATGGTATTTTTAATGTGCTCTAAAATTTATTTTATGTTCTCAGTAACATACTATACACCAATTGCCACATAATTATGTTAGAATCATATCATTGTAGATTTAGCTGCAGCTAAATTTGGTGTGGTACTCCACACCAACTCTACTTTTCCTGTCCGTTTGTTTCTCATTAATTTTGGGAGATTAACATCATAGGGTGTGATTGGCCAGTAAGCACTAAAAGGAAATAAGATTTATTTTCTCCTGGGTGGTCATCCCCCAATACAGTAACGGTTCAGGAAGAGAAAATCGCCCCCTCTGATGTCGTACTCTGCCATGGTCTTCCCATTTTCCAGTCTCTTCCCATTGCAAGTCACAATCTGTCTCTTGGGGCGCACACCAGTGTTCTCCTCAATCATCTTTTTCACCTGTTTCACCGAGCTGTAACTTCGCACCTGGAGGAGATGCCTCTGCCCCTCGTCACCCGGCTCCACCAGAATCAAGGGCATCTCCTCATCACTGGGCTTCACTACCTTCAGAGTGAGGTGGATGGTTGTCTCCTTGTCAATGCCATAAGAGGACAGTGTTCTCTGGGGCTCTAGGGTCGTTGTGCCGAGCAGAAGGACCTGTTCCTGCACAGGAACCTTGGTCTGAGATCGGACATGTTCACTGATCTTATTCACGCTGTCATTAGAGTTGGCAGTGAAGGTCATCATATTCCATGCCTTGGAATGGACATTCACCTGGACATCAAAGGACAAGGGTTAGTTGCTGAGAATGGTTGCCCCCTTTTCCACCCCTTAATGGTCTGTCATTTTGGAAATTCCAGATTATAACACAAACAAGGAAATCAGTCTTATTCCTTTAAGGCATAACCTCTTACCCATCCCAAAATGTCATTAATAATGTCCCACCTTTTTTTTAACCAAAGTGCCCTGGAGATGATGTGTCAAATGGCTACCCCTGATGGCCAAAGGGGTTAAGCACAGCACTGTGAAGCTATTTGCAGCCTCTGCAGCATGAGGTCTATCCTAGGGAGCTACCCACATGGCACAGAAGACCTCTCCTGTCTCGTCACTGCTCCCCTCAGCAGTGTATTTCTGTGAATCATCCTGTTCTTTTTCCTATTCTGTCTCTGCTTTATCTTCTCACTCTCCCCACCTCTGGCCTTTACCCCAGTTCTTGTTTGCATAAATAAATTAATATTTGAAAAATGTTTAAAAAAAGAAATACAACTACACAGCATCCAAAGATGTACACCAGACTCGCAAAAACAACTCCCCAAAAGAATTTCTGAGTCCTGGCAGCCTATTGGGGCACTCACTGGGCTGTCCTCCATAACTACCTTAGAGGAAGCTGGTTAAGATACAGAGTCTCTGTATTGTTTGTTTCCTTTTTTAATGTCCCTTTGTTTTGTAATAGTAACCTACATATTATAGCAACAGTGTGTTCAATATCTCTTGTCCATCTGTATTTCCTATGTTCTGATATCTACTTATTATAGAATATTATCACCTTTAATTAGACTAGGGCCTCACTCACAGAAGATAGAGACTATATCCAGCTCTACTTCAATAACCTAGAAATTGTGAAGCTCATCTCTGTTTGGTCTCCTGAAGGATTTGGGGTGGGTGTCCTTCATGCTCCATTCAAAAAATTTTCCTAATCAATAATTCCAGTTTTAATTCCCCCATTCCCCCACTCCTTCTTTTGGGTTTGTGCAAACCCCATGTGTTTGTTGGTTTCAAGATGGTGAAATGATGTGAAAACAGTCCTGACTTGGAAGGAAGTTAATGGCTTCCCTGGAATTTAAACCAACTCCAGAGAAGAAAAAAGTCTTAAGTCACCTCAATTGCTTTGTCATTGGGGTAGCAATCCCATGTTTTAGAGTAAATGGTGGTGCCTTGCTTAAATAAAAATGATATTGAATGTTTAATTGTGTGCAGGGTTTCTGGATAAAGCTGTAGTCCTGTCACATGGGGGTAGTACCTTCTACTTTAATACTAGAGAGTTACTTAAATATGGCTCAAAATGGCACATTTCAAAATGTAGTTATAATTCACATTTTGTGCTCCTATGAGAAATCTTCCAAGTCTAGATGCCACAGTCTTCACTGGACTGTCACTTGTCCGCGTTAAGTATTGCCTTCATAACAGCTTCTCTTCATAGTGACTGTAGTCTTATACAAGGTAATGCATCAGTTTGTTAACAATTCAGGATAAATGCTTTTTTTGTGAAACTGTCTTTTGGGAAGAGAGGGAAGTTTAAGAGTTCTGAACCATTGATCAGGATTGGGTGAAAGGGGCCCATGATAATATTTTCCTCATTTGTAATCTTGCCAGCTCTCTTGAGCACAAAGTTCACCCACTTCTGACCATTTGGGATCTGAGAGCTCAAGCTAATATTAAAACCAAACCAAACTAAACAATAAACTTGAAAAATCATGTTCTTAAATTGAACTCTTTTTAGCCAGTTAATACTATTGGGAAAATTAATTATTATTTAAAAATTATTTATTTACTTATATTTTTAAAAAGTTTTATTTATTCATACACACAAGAACTGGGAGACAGGTCAGATGCATGCGGTAGGGTGAGAGGATTCATCAGAGACAGACCAGGGAACAGATCAGGCTGAATGAGTGAAATACACTGCTGAGGGGAGCAGGGGGTGACAGGAGAGGTCTGCCCTCCAGGATCAAACCCACACTGCAGAGGCTGCAGACAGCTTCAAAATGCTGCACTCAACCATCTGCACCACCAGGGGAGACCCTTAATGTTCCTTTTGATATGCAGAAGAAGCTCTGTAATTTGATGTAGTTCCAGCTGTTCATCTTTTCCTTCACTATCTTTGCTTTAGGTGATGTGTCTTTAAAGATTTTACTGAGATGTATGTCATCTAGTGTTTTGCTTATATTTTGTTCTATATATTTTATGGTGTCAGGTCTTATGTCTAATTCTTTAATCCATTTTGAGTTTGTTTTTGTGCATGGTGTGAGGTGGCAGTCTAACTTCATTTGTTTTTCTTGTAGCTGTCCAGTTTTCCCAGCACCATTTATTGAACAAACTGTCCTTGTTCCATTGGATTTTGTTTGCTCCTTTGTCAAAGATTAGTTGTCCATATATGTGTGGCCTTATTTCTGGGTTTTCTATTCGATTCCATTGGTCTGTGTGTCTATTTTTGTTCCAGTACCATACTTTTTAAATTATTACTGTTTTGTAGTATAGTTTGAAATCTGGGCATTTGATACCTCCATTCCCCTTCTTTTTATTCAGTAGTGCCTTGGCTATCGACTTTTTTTTTTGTGGCTCCATATGAATTTCATCAATATTTGTTCTATTTTTTTTTGTGGAATTTCATGGACATTTTTATTGGAATAGCATTGAATCTGTAAATTGCTTTTGGGAGGATGGCCTTTTTAATAATATTAATACTTCCAATCCATGAGCAGAGGGTGTTTTTCCTTTTCTTTGTGTATTCTTCTATTTCTTTTAACAATGTTTTATAATTTTATTTGTATAGGTCCTTCTCCTCTTCTTTTTAGGTTTATTCCCAAGCATTTGATTTTTTTTGTTTTGATTATAAAAGGGATGGGTTTCTTGATTTTTTCTTCTTCAGATTGTTTGTTTGTTTATAGAAAGGTGGCTGATTTTTGTGTGTTGATTTTGTACCCTGCTACTTTACTAAACGGGTTGATTTTTTTCATTAGTTTTTCTGTGGAGGTTTTGGAGTTCTCTATGTATGTTATAATATCATCTACAAATAGGGACTGCTTTACTTCTTCTTTCCCTGTTTGGATTCCTCACATGCCTTTTTCTTGTCTTATTGTTCTGTCTAGAACTTCCAGTATTATATTGAAAAGCAGTGGTGAGAGTGGATATCCTTGTCTTGTTCCAGACTTAAGGGAAAGGCTTTCAGCTTTTCATCATTGAGAATGATATTGGCTATGGGTTTGTCATATATGGCCTTTATTATGTTAAGATACGTTCCTTCTATCCTGAGAATTTCAAGAGCCTTTATCATAAATGGATGCTGAACTTTGTTGAATGCTTTCTCAGCAGGTGTTGTTGATGTGTTTGGATTACATTAATTGATTTTTGGATGTTGAACCATCCTTGTGCCCCTGGAATAAATCCCACTGATCATGGTGAATTATCTTTTGGATGCCTTGTTGGATTCAGTTGGCTAGAATTTATTGATGACTTTTGCATCAGTGTTCGTGGGAGAGATTGGTCTGTAGTTTTCTCTTTTGTGTATTGTCCTTGTTTGGTTTTGGTATTAGTGTAATGTTGGCTTTGTGAAACGTATTTGGTAGTATCCCTTTGATGGCCTTTTTTTGTAGGAGTTATTGTGGGGAGAAGATCAGTGTGAGGCTGGAGGTGAGGTGGTGAAAGAATTCACTAGAGATTGAGTAGAAAACAGAAAAGGGACTATAACTGAGATGAAAATGCATACATTGTACAAAAATGAAAATATATGTAAAAAATATGTAAAATGGCTCTGCTTCCACTGAAAGGGTCAATGTGATCAGTCATATGGCCTGGTTCCAGCAGCATCCTTATTAATTCCTTTTTATGTATTCAAGCCTCTCAAATGTTCCAGCTTGTCAAGGGGTGGAGGCTTAGTTTTCAACCTTATTAAAAGATACCCCAGCAGGAATGTTGCTTTTTTGAAGGCATGATGCAAATTGGTGGAAGGAATAAAGAGAGATGAAGGAAAGCAGAGGATGCAAGGACTCTTGGAATGAGTGAAAGTGAGAGCATCCCCTTTGACAGCCTGCATGAGCCACCTAGTGCTTCCCATCAGGCGGAGGTGAGCAAAGAGCCTGTGAGTGCAGGAGGCAGAGCCTGGAGGAAGATCAGCTCTCAGTCTGATGTAAAGGTGTATAAAACTGCTCTCCCAGAACTGTGATAAAATGTTCTACCATATGAAATGCACTATGTGGCAATAGGGAAACCACCTAATCGAGAGAGGGATTTAAACAAAGTTTGAGGGCAAGCCTGGAATCCTCCCAGGAAAAACTATTAATAAATCATTAAAGGATTCTCCTGCTCTCTAACATACCCAGAGAGGATATGGTTTCTGAGAAATCGCGTCCTTTCAAAGAATGTAAACAAATCTGGATTTTCATCTTTCCCTTTTCCCTCCTTCCTTCCAATGTGAAATCCCCTCTCAGTCCAAGGTCCAGGTGGGGCTGTTGCAGACCCCTGGTGCCCTTTTTTGGCCACAGGTGACCTCATGTATATGTGAAATCTAAAACCATTGACTCATTGAAACGGAGAATATATTGGTGTTTGCAGGGGCTGACGGGTGGCAGAAATGGGGAGATATCAGTCAAACGGTGAAAACTTACAGTTATAAAATGAATAAATGCTCGGGATGTAATATGCAGCCATAGCAACTATACTTAATTGTTTGATTTACTTAAAAGTTGCCCTGAGAGCAAAATATTTTGGTCTCACTATAACAATAGCAACAAAAAGCAAAAAAAAATTATGTAAGGTGGAGGAAATGTTAACTAAAGTGTAGTGAAAGATTTGTTTGTTTGCAACATAGTTGTCACATCATTATAAATCACCTAAATTTATATACCTTTATATATTTATTCTGTCTAAATAGAGCTCAAACTATTAATAAAAGCTAAAAAGAAAAAGTAAAGGTAGTGTGCTTGAATATAAAATGGAACTTCTCAGTATGGTTATTGCCTTTTTTTACAGACACAATCAGCCAAAGAAATGTAGAGGATGGGTAGGGTTAGAATTGAATTTAAATAACATGGTGATTTAACAAAGGGAGGGTCACAATGTGAAGAGTGGCAGGAATAATGAGAAAATATGTGCAAAGGCAAAATTATAGGATTGACAAGTGAATATTTGCTGGACTTAGAAAGAAACAAAGACATGTGAAAGGTGATGACTGTGATAAATTTCTAGATGCCTAATGAGGAAGGAACTGAGAGGCAAGAAAAATTTCTATGTAGATACTGAATGAAAAAACAAAGAATTATGAGAGTGACACCACTGGGGAGAATGTTTGCGACTCAGGAACAAAAATCTTCAAGAAAAAGGTGCTAACGCAGAGGATGGCAGCAACAATAGAGGTAGTGGGCAAAATGCTGATGGCATGAAGCAGAGCTGTGCTCAAAACTGAGGATGACTCCATCTCACACAAGTAAGGGAATTTTTCCATGTGACCTTGAGGGTCACTGAGTTCAAATGTCTAGTGTAATGACACTCAGAGAATGCGATTCCAAACCAGTTATAAATTGGAGTAGAAATGATATTGAAAGAGAATCATGCCATCTCTGGCCTCCACACATTGCGAGGGACACACCACTGTAAAAGATCTTTCCCTCTAGAATTTTCCCTTCCTCATCTTGGGGACTCCTCTCTGGACACCTCCATGCCAATTACTAGTTGTGGGAATCGGACAAGGATTCCTCAGAGATGCATCCTCTGGAGCTGACGTCAGTTGATTCCCCTGTTTCCTCTAGTGAGAGGCCCCAGCAGTGCACTCCCTCCTCCCCTATAACCTCTATGCCCTTCAGAACCCAGAGGCATTTCTGCCACCTCCACCAGCTAATGCTGCTTTGCTACCACCAAAAAGGCTCAAGTCCTTGTTTGTCTATCTTCCATTATGAGGTTCTTCAAGAACAGATCTTGTCACTTCTGCCTGAGTCTTGATGCTTCCATGGCATAGGTGAATTCTTGCCCAAAGACATTCTATTCCTTCCTCTGGTGATGAGCCAGAAGGTGCCCACCCATCTTCTTTCTAAGGTACTGGACTCTGATCTGAGGCATCTGTTCCAGAAATCAACAGTCATGTGGTAGAGAGTATTTTTCATCCTGCCCACTGCCATTTTAAACCCAGAGCATCCATAACAGAAGCAAGAGACCAACTTCTCGTTTGGAAAGTGAAGGCCTAAATGCTAGTGCCAGAGAACAAGACATGAGGGTAAGTCATGCAGATGAAGCATATTCTAGAATACCTAATGAGGTCAAGATGAATTTTCTTTTAAACCAATTTGCCTTCCTGATGCTAGACAGGGATCATTTTGAGCGGGGAGTTAAAGAGCGCACATCTGTTTGAGCTCTATATTTGGGAATTTGTGCATACATATAGTAAGGATGTTGTCTGTGCAATTTGTTATGTTGTACCTGTTTTCAGAATTTGGCATATTTGGAGGGAAATGGTGATGATTGCCTGGCTGAACTGATATGTGTCTATATAATCATAGAATTAGGAAATCTGATTTTATAGGTCCATATCTCTAGCACTGTTGAACCATAAGTCTGAATGTCATCTCTTGTATTTAGCTCATCTCCATGATGACTGCCATTATGTAAAATTAAATAAAAGATGTACCGTTATACTCTGCAGTTCTTAGCATATTAGAACCTGATTTATTAAATAAACAACAAATAAAAACCCTCTAAGGATCTCAGGACTGGTCAGCTCTGCGTTGAAATCCTGATAAACATTCACAAAGGCTGTGACCATAGCAAGTTATATAACCTCAATTACCTTACTTTGTAAAACAGGAGTATTATCGGGCCTCCCCTTGTGGTGCAGCGGTTGAGCGCTGGGCTGTGAAGCTGCCCATAGCCTCTGCTGCGCTGGTTCGATTCCCGGCCGCCAGGGAGGGTCCCACATGGCCCGCAGACCTCTCCTGCTGCCCGCTGCTCCCCTCAGCAGTGTATTTCATCATTCTGCCTGTTCTGTTCTCCGCTCTGGCTCTGGTGAATTCTCTCACCCTCCCGTGCTTCTGACTGTACCCATTGCTTATATAAGTAAATAAATAAATCTTTAAAAAAAAAACAAAAACAGGAGTATTATCCAGTTTTCCAGCGAGTAAAGATCAGTCTATGAAAGGGGACATAAATTTATATATCAGTGTGTCATTTCTCAGCGTAGGAATCTTCTAAGTCCTATTACTGATTTAAGAAATAGTGATGATAATGTTTACACTTTACTGAAGAACTTTTTTTTTAAAGAGTATGACTCCATTTTATTTATTTATTTTTAAAGATAGATTTATTTATTTATTTATTTATCCAAGCACTGGGTACAGTCAGAAGCGTGGGAGGGTGAGAGAATTCACCAGAGCCAGAGGGGAGAGCAGAGCAGGCGAAAGGACCGAAGTACACTGCTGAGGGGAGCAGTGGGCGGCAGGAGAGGTCTGCGTGCCATGTGGGACCCTCGCCCGGGTGGCCGGGGATGGAACCGGCGCTACAGAGATTGCTGGCAGCTTCGCAACCCAGCGCTCAACTGCTGAGCCACGGGGGAGGTTCTACTGAAGAACTTCTATGAGCTCCTAAGTAAGCACACTGTTCTAAGAGCTTTGTGTTTTGAACCCACCTTAACAATTCTGTTTTCATTTGGGGAAACTGGCCACAGAACAGTTAAGCCCCATGTCCAAGGTGGCTTATCCAAGAAATTGCAGGGTCCAGACTCCAATTTGGGCAGTCTGACTCTCGGACTCTTGTTCTTGAATTCATTAAAAACTGTTCTGCCAAATGAGGATAAGATGAAAGAAGCATGTAAATATGATGTTGTATTTGGGGAAAACTGGAAATCTGAAAAATAAATGAGGGGCTGATTTTTAAATTAAGAATAGTGAATTTGATCCTTAAAAAGTTATCTCTACAATGATACCTGTTGTGAAAGATGTAGTAGAAAGATTTCTGCGTACCTTTTATCCATTATGTCAATCATTATGGTTTTTGTGCCATTAGGAAATTTGATTCAGCACCATTTTCAAGGGCTGAAGGCTTCTATGTCCTCTTTACACTGGTTTGAAAAATATTGAAATTAGAGCTGTGGGATAATACAGGAAGTTTGGAGGTCATTTCCTTTTACACGTGAAAAAAAAAATGAAGCAAAGGGAAATGAACATATCAAATAACTGGCCAAAGGCAGTCAGCCAGGTGGAGAGAAGTCTCCTAACTTCTCATTGAATGTGCTTTCCTCTGCCCAAGTGACTCTTGATTTAAAAGCTGGTCCACATGAGCTGATCCGTGTGGACTATGGTTATCACACTATATAGTAAGTGGAAGGGGAATGGACATTGGAAGCAGCCTGTAAGAGAGATTCCCTACACATTAGAATTCAGTGGTCAGCAAAATGAAGGGTTGTATTACAAGAACTACAGCACCTGAAATGAATAGGACATACCTAGTATGGGGTATAGCAAGCCTGGAGGTTCACACTTATTGTCAGGCACTACACATTTCCTAAGCAGGAAGGAGACTCAGAGTGAAATCTGTTTTGAAGTCAGCATATGAATAGATAAAGAAATTCTGGAATATATACTCAATGGAATACTACACAGCTGTGAAAAATGAAATAGTGGCTTTTGGGGACAAAATAACCTGAAGATGAAATAAGTCAAAAAGTGAAAGATAGATAACAAATTAATTCCCTCACCTGTGGAGAATAAATAACAAAAAACCACACACAAACAAAATACAGCAGTCATAAATGTCAAACTTAGTGAATGAATTTAATGTTTATCAGAGGGATGGGGTAGGGAAGACCTAGAGCGAGCACTGTATAGTGGCTTGTTGAAAGGTGAGTGGAACATGTACACATATGGAGGAACAAAAATGTACAGATTAAATATAAATTAAGAAAAAAAAGAAATGAAAGTGTTTCGTGTTGAGGAGGAAATTCAGATTTCTACATTGGTCGGAGGAGTCCATCCAGAAACAGGCAAGTAGTTGAAATGCACCGATTGTGAAAACCAGACCCTAGAGAGCACAGCTCCCACGTGTCGGGTCATAAGGGTTCAGATCCGTGGTTTCAACATTACGCAACCACAGGGTGTGTTTCTACCCCTTCCCCCTGCTCGCCCCACATACCCTGGATTTCCTTTCTTTCTAAGGCATGATGACACCTTTGCACATGTCCTGCTTCTAAACCTTCTGGGAGTTTCCCTCCTTTAGGCCAACCACAGCACAGAGGAGGGCTTTCTCCTGCTGGGTTTCATGGACTGGCCCTCCCTGCAGCCGGTCCTCTTCGCGTTTGTGCTTTTCTGCTACCTCCTGACTCTCACTGGCAACTCGGCGCTGGTGCTGCTGGCCGTGCGCGACCCGCGCCTGCACACGCCCATGTACTACTTCCTGAGTCACCTGGCCCTGGTGGACGTCGGCTTCACCACGAGCGTGGTGCCGCAGCTGCTGGTCAACCTGCGCGGCCGCGCGCTGTGGCTGCAGCGCAGCGGCTGCATCGCTCAGCTGTACACGTTCCTGGCGCTGGGGTCGGTCGAGGGTGTCCTCCTGGCGGTGATGGCGCTGGACCGCGCGGCTGCCGTGTGCCGCCCGCTGCGCTACGCGGGGCTCGCGGCGCCAAAACTCTGCCGCGCACTGGCTGCCGCCTCCTGGCTGGGCGGCCTCACCAACTCCGCCGCGCAAACTGTGCTCCTGGCCACACAGCCGCTGTGCCCACCCTACCGACTGGACCACTTCTCCTGTGAGCTGCCGGCGCTGCTCAAACTGGCCTGTGGTGGCAGCCGAGATGCCACCGAGCGCCAGATGTTCGCTGCCCGCGTGGTCATCCTGCTGGTGCCATCCACTGTGATACTGGCCTCCTATGGGGCCGTGGCGCGCGCAGTGTGGGGCATGCGAACCAGCGGGGGCCGGAAGAGAGCGCTGGGCACATGCGGGTCCCACCTGACCGCGGTCTGCCTGTTCTATGGCTCAGCCATGTACACCTACCTGCAACCCAGGCACAGCTACAACCAGGCACGGGGAAAGTTTGTCTCACTTTTCTACACTGTGGTCACACCGGCCCTCAACCCACTCATCTACACCCTGAGGAATAAGGAAGTGAAGGGCGCAGTGAGGAGATTGCTGGGGAGAGGGCAGACAGGACAGTGAGCATTGTTGGGGAGGGGAAAAAAGTGTTATAGCAGGACTATTTGCCATAGCTAAGCTTTGGAAACAACCCAAATGCCCAAAAATAGATGACTGGATCAAGAAGGTGTGGTATATATACACAATGGAATATTACTCAGCAATCAAAAAAGATAAACTCATGCAATTTGCAGCAACATGGATGGCGCTGGAAGGGATCATGCTCAGCGAAATAAGCCAGAAAGAAAAAGAAAAATACTGGATGGTCTCACTCATAGCAGAAAACCTAAAAAACCTAGAAAACCTAAAAAAGGCACCAGGAAAAAGAATAACTATAATAAAGGAAAAAGCAAAATCAAGAAGCAACTATAGACCAGAGACACACTGCGGGGGAGGTGCGGAGAGAGGAGGGATTGGGGTCAAAATAGGGGCACAGTTGTGGGGGGAATATAACCAAGATGAAAATGCATACATTGTGCGATAATGAAAAATGATGTAAGAAACACATAAAATAAAATATTAAAAAAAAAGTGTTAGCCCAGGCCTGAGGATGAAATGCACCTTGAAAAGTCTATCACTTGAGCCTTCAGCCTGTTCATTCCTAGATGATAATCTGCAAGATTTGTCCTGGAAGAGTTGAGAGCTGATGGGGGAGTTCCCTTTCCCATGAAGAAATGTTCATGTGCTTGAGGGAAAATCCCTGTATCTTCTACAAGTTTAGGGAGGGAGAAATGGCCCTCCAGCTTTCTCCTATACTGAGGAGGAGAAAACGTGATTTAGGGACAACCTTTCCCCTCTCTGAAAATCCATATGCTGGTAAGATGACATGTGACATCATGCTTAACTATGGTTTTCTCCCATTGTGGAAGAGACCACGGAAGGCCTATGGTATCTGCAACAAGAGTCTCAAACTGACAAGAAAATCAAAGGCTCTACCCTACAGGAAACCCCCATCTAGAAAAAGCAGCATATCCTTGACAGGAAATTAGTCCAACCTAATGCTCACCAGCCTGGTGACTAGTGCCCACCACAGATCTCTAGGCCAATAAGTGCAGCAAGGAGGACCTATCAGTGTGGTTTTTTTGGGTGGGGTTAACTTGAGAAACTCTTTTGTGAGAAGTGGTTCTTGAGCAAGTTTTAAAACTAGAGCAGGATCTAGTCTAGTGCTGAAGAAGGTGGACATGTGTCAGGTTGTGAGAAAGCCGTGCATGAGACCAGTAATGAGAAATGAGAAAGCAACAGTGAGTCAGAGGAGTAAATGTAGTGAGTGAAATGGAACAAGACTAGAGTTTCCAAAAATGGAACAGACAACTGGTAGTAATATTAAGGGGAAAGGATTTCCTGAGCAAACTCCATGCAGGTTTTGTGGACTCCACCCTCCTCCAGACCAGAACCATCAAGTGCGGCAGGCTGTGCCTCCCATGCTGTCTCTTGACATGGTCCAGGCATTGGGGGAGACTCCCGAGAAGCGGGGAGTTCCTGTGCTCCCCCAAAGAGGGAAATTTTTGCTTCCCAGAAGAGGGGAGTTCTTGCACTTCCCAAGAAGATCTGACCTAGGGAGTCTCCATGGCAACGCCTGCTAAAGCTCTCCTCTTTGTTCTTGGTTAATGCAGAAGTTAGTTATTAATTGGCATATGAAAACCCATTTTGGACCTAGACATTAATTGATTTATTGTTCTCACCCTTGAATCAGTATCAAAGAAAGTAAACAATGCTAAAGGTATAGCTAGGAAATGTTCCGGCCCTGAGAACTATGGAGAACAAGCTGCCCTGAACCAGCTGTGCTTGGAAGCCATAGGCTAATACGGGGGTGCATGCTTGTGGCAGCAGTACATTTCCTGGTGTATGCAAGTGCGAGAGGTCAGTAGTTCACAGGTCCTGTGGAGGTCAGGAATTTCTAGTTAAGAGTTAGACTTAAGTAGAACTTACTTTGATGATTTGTTGAGTTGTTTTGATGAGTTGTTTTAGACCACTTTGAAGTAATCAATAAATTAACCAAGTTAATTGAGTGCTAGGAGATAGATTGATTTTAGTAATTGGATATAGAATAGGAATTTTACACCCACTCTGTAACTGGGAAAGTTTAATTGTTGCCAAATGTTGTGCTGTCATATATGATTGCTCATGTTAGTAAATGAGCTGTACCTAGGAAACTAATTGTTCTTAAGGTTACCAGAGAAATGCCCTGTAGGTGTGAGACCTAGGAGTCTTTACATGTTCATGAGAAAATAGGTATTGATTGTTTCTGTTCTGCCTCAATGCTTACACTGATGTAATCCCATCACTTGCCTTAAGGTATAAATAAAGACCCTCTGAGACCCTCAGCATGAGATACTTGCACGAACTAAGGTGTCTGTGTCTTTCTCACCCCTACCTCGTTCCACTTCCCCTCAGCCCTGCGAGAAAAACTTTCACCAACACCGTCCTCTCCTTTCTGAGATCCCTGACACAACTTCTAGCTGGAACTGGTCTCCAGCATTCAAGACACTGGGAACTAAAATCCCATGATCACCAAAGGGAGGGTTGCGAGGATCTGAAGGTGGAGTTAAGCAGCCATGTTTTTTGTTTGGGTATATAACCAGCCATGTGAGTTGGGGTCTCTCTCTTGGCCTTATGGCGCTTGGATTTTTGCCAGCTCTCAGTAGGTCGTTGGGATTCCAGGTCATGGGAATGGCAGGACACATTCACGAATTTATCTCCCTCTTTTTCTCCCTCACTTATTCATTTCTTCATTTCCCCTTCTCTTATAAATAAACCTTTTAGTAACCTTTTGTGTGTGCCTGCAGTTTAGCATTAAGGAGTCCCTTTTAAGTGCGCTGTTGAAGACCCACAGTCAGGCAACCCATTTCGTATTGGGGTTGCCCTGTAACAGCAAGGAAAGCAGAGAGAAGGAAGCACAATCGGCCAGAACTTGGGCAGTGTTGGGGTCCAGTCAGAAACCAGGCCTGTCTACCCTACCCTCACTCCAATAGCTTCCCTGACTCTTGAGAGGACCTCCAGATCCTAGGACATGCAGAACAGAAACATGTCCACAGTCCCCTGCCTTTCAGAAAGCCTATTCCCTCTGAAAGCCTATCTGCTCCTAAGGAACCTCCACAAGAAACAAAATATCTACGTCTCATGGGAAAGTAGCTCACTTCATAATCATGTCACTGTTCTCTATAAAGTGACATTCCATTTGGCTCAAAAATTATTGCATAATATGATAGATGAATTCCTGGATCAAATATAGGAACACAGAAACTAATGACACATGAGTTTGTTGAATGGGAAAGGAAATGCTAGTTTTTCTGTAAGTCAGCCAAGTAAACATTATATTGCAAGATGGCTTTGCATGGTATTTTTAATGTGCTCTAAAATTTATTTTATGTTCTCAGTAACATACTATACACCAATTGCCACATAATTATGTTAGAATCAAATCATTGTAGATTTAGCTGCAGCTAAATTTGGTGTGGTACTCCACACCAACTCTACTTTTCCTGTAAGTTTGTTTCTCATTAATTTTGGGAGATTAACATCATAGGGTGTGATTGGCCAGTAAGCACTAAAAGGAAATAAGATTTATTTTCTCTTGGGTGGTCATCCCCCAATACAGTAACGGTTCAGGAAGAGATAATCGCCCCCTCTGATGTCGTACTCTGCCATGGTCTTCCCATTTTCCAGTCTCTTCCCATTGCAAGTCACAATCTGTCTCTTGGGGCGCACACCAGTGTTCTCCTCAATCATCTTTTTCACCTGTTTCACCGAGCTGTACCTTCGCACCTGGAGGAGGTGTCTCTGCCCCTCATCACCCTGCTCCACCAGAATCAAGGGCATCTCCTCATCACTGGGCTTCACTACCTTCAGAGTGAGGTGGATGGTTGTCTCCTTGTCAATGCCATAAGAGGACAGTGTTCTCCGGGGTTCTAGGGCCGTTGTGCCGAGCAGAAGGACCTGTTCCTGCACAGGAACCTTGGTCTGAGATCGGACATGTTCACTGATCTTATTCACGCTGTCATTAGAGTTGGCAGTGAAGGTCATCATATTCCATGCCTCGGAATGGACATTCACCTGGACATCAAAGGACAAGGGTTAGTTGCTGAGAATGGTTGCCCCCTTTTCCACCCCTGAATGGCTCCCCTCCTCAGTTGTTCACCCTTCACTGCCTGTCTGATCCTCCATCTCCTTTACAAGGAGTCATGTCCCTCCCTTCTCTGGAATTTCTCTTTTGGAAATTCCAGATTATAACACAAACAAGGAAATCAGTCTTATTCCTTTAAGCCATAACCTCTTACCCATCCCAAAATGTCATTAATAATGTCCCACATTTTTTTTTTAACCAAAGTGCCCTGGAGATGATGTGTCAAATGGCTACCCCTGATGGCCAAAGGGGTTAAGCACAGCACTGTGAAGCTATTTTCAGCCTCTGTAGCACGAGGTCTATCCTAGGGACCTACCCACATGGCACAGAAGACCTCTCCTGTCTCGTCACTGCTCCCCTCAGCAGTGTATTTCAGTCAATCTTCTTGTTCTGTGTCCCACTTTGTCTCTGCTGAATCCTCTCATCCTCCCCACCTGTGGCCTGTACCCCAGTTCTTATTTGCATAAATAAATAAATATTTGAAAAAATGTTAAAGATGTACACCAGACTCGTAAAAACAACTCCCCAAAAGAATTTCTGAGTCTTGGCAGCCTATTGGGGCACTCACTGGGCTTCCCTCTATAACTACCTTAGAGGAAGCTGGTTAGGATACAGAGTCTCTGTATTGTTTGTTTCCTTTTTCAATGTCCCATTGTTTTGCAATAGTAACCTACATATTATAGAAACAGTGTGTTCAATGTCTCTTGTCCATCTGTATTTCTTATGTTCTTACATCTACTTGTTATAGAATATTATCACCTTTCATTAGACTAGGGCCCCACTCACAGAAGTTAGAGACTATATCCAACTCTACTTCAATAGCCTAGAAATGGGAAGCTCATCTCTGTTTGGTCTCCTGAAGGATTTGGGGTGGGTGTCCTTCATGCTCCATTCAAAAAATTTTCCTAATCAATAATTCTAGTTTTAATTCACCCATTTCCATACTCCTTCTTTTGGGTTTGAGCAAACCCCATGTATTTGTTATTTCAAGATGGTGAAATGATGTGAAAACAGTCCTGACTTGGAAGGAAGTTAATGGCTTCACTGGAATTTAAACCAGCTCCAGAGAAGAAGAAAGTCTTAAGTCACCTCAATTGCTTTGTCATTGGGGTAGCAATCCCATGTTTTAGAGTAAACGGTGGTGCCTTGCTTAAATAAAAATGATATTGAATGTTTAATTGTGTGCAGGGTTTCTGGATGAAGCTGTAGTCCTGTCACATGGGGGTAGTACCTTCTACTTTAATACTAGAGAGTTACTTAAATATGGCTCAAAATGGTACATTTCAAAATGTAGTTATAATTCACATTTTGTGCTCCTATGGGAAATCTTCCAAATCTACATGCCACAGACAGTCTTCACTGGACTGTCACTTGTCTGCGTTAAGCATTGCCTTCATAACAGCTTCTCTGCATTGTGACTATAGTCTTATACAAGGTAATGCATCAGTTTGTTAACAATTTAGGATAAATGATTTTTGTGAAACTGTCTTTTGGGAAGAGACGGAAGTTTTAGAGTCCTGAACCACTAATCAGGATTAGGTGAAAGGGGCCCATGATAATATTTTCCTTGTTTGTAATTGTGCCAGCTCTCTAGAGCATAAAGCTCACCCACTTCTGACCATTTGGGATCTGAGAGCTCAAGCTAATATTAAAACCAAACCAAATCAAACAATAAACTTGAAAAATCATGTTCTTAAATTGAACTCTTTTTAGCCAGTTAATAACATTTGGAAAAGTAATTATTATTATTTAAAAAAAATCATTTATTTACATATATTTTAAGACTTATTTATTTATACATACAAGAACCAGGATACAGGTCACATGCGTGGTAGGGTGACCTTGATTCACCAGAGACAGAGCAGGTAACAGAACAGGCAGACTGACTGAAATACACTGCTGAGGGGAGCAGCGGGCAAGACAGGAGAGGTCTGCCGCACTATGTGGGATTCTCGCCAGCTAGCTGGGATCAAACCTGCGCTGCAGAGGCAGTGGACAGCTTCACAGCCCTGTGCTGTGCTGCGCTCAACCGCCTGTGCCGCCAGGGGAGGCCATTTTTTAAAAAAAATATTTATACGAGGGCTGGGGTACAGGCCAGAAGCACCGGAGGGTGAGAGGATTCACCAGAGACAGAGTGGGGAGCAGAACAGGCAGATGGACAGAAAGCACTGCTGAGGGGAGTAGTGTGGCAACAGGAGAGGTCTGCTGAGCCATATGGGAATCTCCCTGGCTGGCTGGGAATCGAACCCACACTGCAGAGGCTGCCAACAACTTCACAGCACTGAGCTCAACAGGTGCACCATGGGGGAAACCCAGGAAAAGTAATTATTATTTCAATGTATTTTGTGGGTTACACATACTTTTTTAAACTCATAGAATAGTATGAGGGGGAGGAGTGCATGTTGGAATAGGTTGGAAATCTTGGCCCCTGCTGTTTTTTCAAATATCTTTCCAGATTTCTATACCCACCATTTTTAGAAGCCAAGATACATTTGCTTTCTGCACAGAGAAAATGTCTGCCTGCACCCCACTGTCCAATAGGATGTGGGGATTCTGAAACATCACCAGTGGCCAGGCAGAAAATATCAGATCAGGTTGCCGGCAACAGGAAATCTTTGAAAAGAAAAAAGTTTTAAAAAAAAAAGAAGAAATACAACTACACAGAATCCAAAGATGTACACCAGACTTGCAAAACAACTCCCCAAAAGAATTTCTGAGTCTTGGCAGCCTATTGGGACACTCACAGGGCTGCCCTCCATGACTACATTAGAGGAAACAGATAATGCATGAGTTCACCAAGAAATTAAGATAAATGATTTTTGTGAATGTGTCCTTTGGGAGGAGGAGGAAGCTTAAGAGTGCTGAAATGCTAAACAGGATAAAGTGAAAGGGGCCCAGGATAATATTTTCATTGTTTCTAATCTTGCCAGCTTTTTTTTTTTTTTAAAGATATTTATGTATACAAGAACTGGGGTACAGGTCAGAAGCAGGAGGGTGAGAGAATTCACCAGAGCCAGAGCGGGGAACAGAACAGGCAGTCCGACGAAATACACTGCTGAGGGGAGCAGCAGGTGAGGCAGGAGAGGTCTGCTGCGCCATGTGGTGTTCTCCCTGGCCTGCAGGGAATTGAACCGGCGCTGCAGAGGCTGCCGACAGCTTCGCAGCACGGCACTCACCAACCGCTGCGCCACTGGGGAGGTCCTTGCTAGCTCTCTTAAGCACAAAGCTCACCCCACTTCCGATATTTATCCCTAAATGTGGACAGTCCATGGTCTGTCATGAAAGAGAACTCAGGTGACCAAGTTCCCTCTACAGACCCTTCCCTTATATTCTGTAGAGATCAGTGCCCCTCTCACGCCCTTCGAGGCTTCTTCCCAACCTCCCTGAGCATTGGCCCACACCCATTCTCTCCATGTCTCCCCAAGTCCTGGAGGTGCTTTCCCTTTCAAATCCCTTCATCAAACCCCAACTTACACAGAGGCAGGAGGCATTGGGAGCCATCTCTTCGATCTGGGGAGCAAAAAAGAGATGGAGGCAAGGACCTTGCACCAGCTTATATGCAGCTGCTCTGCTGGAAATCCCCTACTGGCAGGGCCCTCCCCTTCCCTTGCTCTTTGTGGTTGAATTTTCTTTCACTTTTGCTTAGTGGAGCCAATAGACAAAGAGATTTTATGGTCACTTTTCCCTCAACAATCCATCTGCCTTCCTTTTTAAGACATGATGATCCTTCTTTGTTGAGAATTTTCCCCTGATTAACACCCCACTCCCTCCCCCACTGCCCCTGTCCTGACTGTCCAGTGTGCAGCTCTGGGCCCTCACTGGCTTGAGAAACTTTAACACTTGCTGGGCATTTCCTGCTGCCTGTAAAGGGCCTTCCTGAGAGTGAGGGAGCCCAGGAGCAGATGTGAAAGGATGTGACCATGAGCAGCCTGTTCACACCAGCCTGACTAGATGTGGGGAGTGAGCTTTGAGAAGACCCTAGACAAATAACCTGACTGAGAAGAAACCTAAGTTCCATTTCCAAGGGTGCCACTTGCTACATTACCTTGGGCAAGTCTGTGCATCTCCTTAGATGTTGGTTTTCTACCTTATAAAATGAGATGATTGGAGAAAATTCCTAAGTGTTTTCTAGGCTCAGAAATTTTTGTCTATGAAATATTCTTTACAAAGGATTTCTGCTTCTTGAGCTCTCTCACTCACTTCTTACCCTATCCAAAAACCTGTAAAATAAAGTCACTATTTGAGAAAAATTCAAAGGCAATAATCAAATGCTGACTCCCTTCTCCTATACAGCACAACAGTTGCATCCACCCTCACACCATGGGGCCTCTGTTTACTCACTTTAGCTTGTGGGCACTCAATTGTGATCTCAGAAATAGTTAAGGTGCTGTCTACTCTTGGGCATTTGGATGGGGAAGAGGCAGTGCCAGCATGCCTTCAGAGAATTTACTCAACCACTATGATATCCTAATTTTCCAAATTAACCACTGCTCTCTCCCATGCTCTCAGGATATTGCTCCTAATAGTAAAAATCTAAAAAAAATTACAAAAATTACAAAAATTATTGAGTGTTCCAATTCTTTTCAAAGTGAAAAATCTGTGAAAACAATGATTTTCTGTGACCATCCAAGAATGTCCACCCTGTAGAACCTAAATTTATAGACGTTGCTGCACAGAGTAACAGGATCTGAGAGCTCAAGCTAATATTAAAACCAAACCAAACCAAACAATGAACTTGACATAAATCATGTTCTTAAATTGAACTCTTTTTAGCCAATTAATAACATTGGGGAAAGTAATTATTATTTCAATGTATTTTGTGGGTTAGACAAACTTCTTTTAACACAGAGAATAGTATGGAGGGGGCTGAGTGCATATTGGAATAGGTTAGAAAGCTTGGCCCCTGCAGTCTTTTCAAATATTTTTCCAGATTCCTACCACCCCCTATGTTTAGAAACCAAGAAACCATTGGATGTTGCACGGCAGAAAATGTCTGCCTGCATCCTACTGTCCAATAGGATGTGGGGATTCTGAAACATCACCAGTGGCCAGGCAGAAAATGTCAGATCAGGTTGAGGGTGACAGGAAATGTGCAAGCTCTGCAGCAGAGGTGGAATTGAGAAAAGGGAAAGGAAATGCTGTAAAGACCCAGTCTTGAGTAAACTGCTCTCACCTTCAAATTTTATTTGCACCCATTACCTTGTTCGGCACATTAGTTCTGGAAATGGAAGGAGGGGAGACCTATAAATTGCCTTAAAATTACACTCAAAATCACCACTTCATACATATTTGGTTGCAATGTACATTGGTGCATTCACTATAGACAATGATATGGAGTTTTGTTAACAAATTGATAATAGAACCATTATACGATCCAGAAATTCTAGCTCTGGGTATTTATCTGATGGCCTTTTAAAACAAAATTTACATACATTTTACATCAGTTGTGTACAATGGATGATTTCTCCTCTCAGGTGTAGTCCCCGTGAAATTCCAACCACCAGTTCACCAGGGTACCATCACCATAGTCCCTGGGCTCTTCCCAGTCCTGTTTGGATCCTCCTCCCTCCACCTCCCCTGCAGATGTCTCTGATTTATAGCTGCCTGTTGATTATAGATTATAATTTTTTATTATAATTTACTCCCACCATTTCCTTATTTGTTTCCTCTACATTCCTCCTATAAGTGAAACCATCTTATATTTTTCTTTTTCTTTCTGGCTATTTCACTGAGCATAATCCCTTCTAGTTCCAACCATGTTACCGTGAATGGCATGTCTGTAGCCTCTACAGTGCCAGTTCGATCTCTGCTGGCCATGGAGCAACCTTTTTTTGATTGCTGAATAATATTCCATTGTGTATGTATACTACATCCTCTTGATCCAGTCCTATATTTTTGGGCAGTTGAGTAGTTTCCATGGCTTACTTATTGTAAGAAGTGCTGCAATACATATAGGGGTGCAGGTGTCCCTTTTTTTTTTTTAAAAAAAAGATTTATTTATTTATTTGTTTGTTTATACAAGCACTGGGTACAGTCAAAAGTGCAGGAGGGTGAGAGAATTCACCAGAGCCAGAGCGGGGAGCAGAGCAGGCAGAAGGACCGAAGTACACTGCTGAGGGGAGCAGCGGGTGGCAGGAGAGGTCTGCGCGCCATGCGGGACCCTCCTCCTGTGGCTGGGGAGAAGCCTGGGATCGAACTGGCGCCGCAGAGGCTGCGGGCAGCTTCACAACCCAGCGCTCAACCGCTGCGCCACCAGGGAGGCCCCAGGTGTCCTTTTGAATTAATGTTTTTGTGTCCTTTGGGTAGATTCCTAGAAGTGAATCCAGCAATTGGATTATACAGAAATCCAGCAATTGGATTATACAGAAGCTCCATTTTTAGTAGATTGAGGAACCTCCACACAGATTTCCATAGTGGTTGGACCAGTTTGCACTCCCACCAACAATATAGGAGAGTTCCTTTTATCCATGTCCTCACCAACATTTGTTGTTGCTAATTTTTTTGAGATATGTCATTCTCACTGGTGTGAGATGGTATCTCATTGTAGTTTTGATTTGCGTTTCCCTGATTACAAGTGATGTTGAACATTTTTTCATATGCCTGTTTGCCATTTGCATTTCTTCTTTGGAGAAGTGTCTTTTTAGCTTTTTTTGTCCATTTCTTGACTGGCTTGTTTACTTTGTTTATGTTGATTTTCTTTAGCTCTTTGTAGATCTTCATGATCAGCCCCTTATCAGTCGTATTGCATGTAAAAATTTTCTCTCAATCATCGGGGTGTCTCTTTGTTTTGGTTAATGTCTCATTGGCTATACAGAAGCTTTTTAATTTGATGTTGTCCCAGTTGTTCACCTTTTCCTTCACTATCATTGCTTTAGGTGATGTGTCTTTAAAAATATTACAGAGAGGGCCTCCCCGGTGGCGCAGCGGTTGAGTGCTGGGTTGCGAAGCTGCCCGAGGCCTCTGCGGCGCCGGTTCGATCCCCGGCTGCTCTCCGGCCACCGGAGGAGGGTCCCACATGGCGTGCAGACCTCTCCTGCCGCCCGCTGCTCCCCTCAGCAGTGTACTTCGGTCCTTCTGCCTGCTCTGCTCCCCGCTCTGGCTCTGGTGAATTCTCTCACCCTCCCGCGCTTCTGACTGTACCCAGTGCTTGTATAAACAAAACAAACAAACAAATAAATAAATAAAAAACATGCCTCTATAAAAAAAAAAAAGTTAAAAAAAAATATTACAGAGATGGGCCTCCCTGGTGGCGCAGGTGGTTGAGTGGAGCGCTGTGAAGCTGTCTGCTGTCTATAGTCTCTACGGTGCCAGTTCGATCTCTGCTGGCCATGGAGCAACCCACATGGCTCAGACCTCTCCTGTCTCGCTGACTGCTCCCCTCTGCAGTGTATTTCAGTCAGTCTGCCTGTTCTGCTGCCCGCTCTGTCTCTGGTGAATCCTCTCACTCTCCCACATGTTTAGCCTGTTCCCCAGTTCTTGTATAAATAAATAAATCTTAAAAAAAAAGGGGCTACTGAGGCCAAAAGTTGGGCTTCACTGAGCTAGCTGTTAAAAAAAAAATTACAGAGATGTATGTCATGTAGTGTTTTACCTATATTTTCTTCTATATATTTTATGGTTTCAGGTCTTATGTATAGTTCTTTAATTCATTTTGAGTTGGTTTTTGTGCATGGTGTGAGGCGGAAGTCTAACTTCATTTTTTTGCATGTAGCAGTCCAGTTTTCCCAGCACCATTTATTGAACAAACTGCCCTTGTTCCATTGTATATTCTTTGCTCCTTTGTCAATGATTAGCTATCCATATATGTGTGGCTTCTTTTCTGGGTTTTCTGTTTGATTCCATTGGTCTGTGTGTCTGTTTTTGTTCCAGTACCATACTATTTTAATTATTATGGCTTTGTAGTACAGTTTGAAATCTGGGGGTCTAAGAACTCCATTTCCCTTCTTTTTATTCAGTAGTGCCTTTTCAATTTGAGTTTTTTTGTGGCTCCATAAAAATTTCATCAGTATTTGTTTAATATCAGGCCTCCTTGGTGTTGAAAGGGGGTAAGCCAAAGCATTATGAAGGTATCTGCAGCCCCTGAAGCACAAATTCGATCCTGGGCTGGCCAGGGAGTTACCCACATAGCACGGCAGACCTCTCTTGTCTTGCCTGCTGCTCCCCTCAGCAGTGTATTCAGTCAATTCACCTGTTCTGTTCCTCAAACTGTCTGTTCCTCCCCTGTACTTCTGCCTGTACCCCAGTTCTTGTATGCATAAATAAATAAATAAATCTTAAAAAATATTTGTTCTATTCTTTGCAGAATGTAATTGCAATTTTTATTGGAATAGTGTTGAATCTGTACATTGTTTTTGGGAGGATGGCCAGTATAATAATATTAATTCTTCCAATCTATGAGCAGGGGATGTCTTTCCATTTCTTTGTGTCTTCTTCTATTTCTTTTAATAATAGTTTTCTTTGTATAGGTCCTTTACCCCTTTTTTAATGCTTATTCCCAATTATTTGATCCTTTTTGTTTTGATTATAAAAGGAATGGTTTTCTTCATTTCTTCTTCTTCAGATTGATTGTTTGCATATAGGAAGGCTT